GGGCCTGCGGGACATGAAGAAGTGGAGGGCCTTTAGGCCATCTGTATGGGGAATGCTGGTGTAGAGGGACTGGACGTCCATGGTAAAGATGAGGTGTTGGGGACCAGGGAATTGGAAGTTCTGGAGGAGGTGGAGGGCATGGGTGGTGTCACGGACATAGGTAGGGAGTTCCTGGACCAAGGGGGAGAAAATGGAGTCCAGATAGTTGGAGATAAGTTCGGTGGGGCAGGAGCAGGCGGAGACAATGGGTCGACCAGGGCATTCAGGTTTGTGGATTTTGGGAAGGAGATAGAAGCGGGCGGTGCAGGGTTGGGGAACGATGAGGTTGGAGGTCGTGGGTGGGAGGTCACCTGAGGTGATGAGGTTGTGGATGGTTTGGGAGATGATGGTTTGGTGCTCAGGGGTGGGGTCATGATCAAGGGGGCGGTTAGGAGGAGGTGTCGGAGCGTTGGCGCCTGGCCTCGGCGATGTAGAGGTCAGTGCGCCATACTACAACTGCGCCTCCCTTGTCCGTGGGTTTTATGGTGAGGTTGGGATTGGAGCGGAGGGCTGCACGTTCTGCAGGGGAGAGGTTGCAGTGGGTGAGAGGGGTGGAGAGGTTAAGGCGATTGATGTCACAACGGCAGTTGGAGATGAAGAGGTCGAGGGAGGGTAGGAGGCCTTGGGGTGGTGTCCAGGAGGAGGGGGTGTGTTGGAGGCAGGAGAAGGGGTCAGTAGAGGGAGTGCTAGGTTCACGGTTGAAGAAGTAAGCGTGGAGGCGGAGGCGGCGGAAAAACTGCTCTCTGTCCAAACGTGAGCGGTATTCGTTGATCTGTGGGTGGAGGGGGACAAAAGTGAGCCCTTTACTGAGGACTGACCGTTCGTCCTCAGTAAGGGGGAGGTCTGGGGGGATGGTGAAGACTCGGCAGGGCTGGGTGCTGCTGTCTCCTCTGGAGCTGCTGGCTGTGGAGGCGGTGGGCGGAGCGACAGACCCTGTTGAAGCTTCAAGATATTTTCTGGAATCAATGCATTTATCATACAACTATCAGACATGCCATTTTTGAGTGTAATGAAGTCACTGGTAGAAATTTTCAATTTGATTTCTTGGCTGGTAACTAGTAGGCTGAATATCCAAGCCTTAAGAAGAGGCACCAAATTTTCACTACTTGGTTTTAATTTGTAAAAATTGCTCAGCAACTTTGGTGACCACAAAGTCCAGCATCATTAGCCAAATTGCACATTCATTCTTAATCACTGTGAAATTAGACTTTTATTTTTAAAGAAATATTACTTCAAAGCAATACCTTCAAGCATAGAAAGTAATAGCAATTTCAAATAAAAATCTAATGAAATTTAATATATTAAAGCAGGATCATGAAATATTATCAGAACACCTTAAAGCTTTCAATATGACTACAAAACTACTAACTTACACTGACATGCAAACACAGAATCTGAGATTTACTGACATATGTATTCATTCTTCCCCAAGCACTGTACAGTTAAAAATCAAAGGGCCTGATTACAGCAGAATTAACAAATCAAATATGCAACAAAAACAGAAATTGCTGGAGAAACTCAACAGGTCTCGCATCAAAGAAAGTGTGGGGAGAAAGCCAATGTTAATCTATCAACTCCAGCGACCCTTCTTCAGAACACTCTGAAGAAGGGTCACTGGATTCTAAACATTAACTCTGCTTTCTCTCCACAGATGCTGCTAGATTTGCTGAGTTTCTCCAGCAATTTCTGTTTTTGTTTCAGATTTCCAGCACCTGCAGTTCTTTTGTTTGTTTAGATCAAATATACACATATGAGGAGAGTTTAATCTAAGCACAAACCCAATAACCTGCGCAGTTTTGAAGTCCCTGAACGTGAAAAAAAAGCAACAGCTTAAAATCTTCAAAAAGTGCAAAGGAACAGGACATAGCGTAAAGTTATTTAGATGTAAGAAAAAATTAGTTACTTCAACCCTAGGCAACCATTCAACCTGCAACAAAATGAACAAAATTAAATAAAACTTGTATTTTTATCACTTGTTTACATTCTCAAAAATAAGGTAAGTTTCCATCAACACTGAAAGGCTGTTTACACCATGGACTATTGCTATCCATTCACTTCATAAGCTGCACCAATAATTGGGTACACGATATCTGTCACTTCTTGAAGCAGCCAGCCTAAGAATACACTCAAGCAACTCACAAGTGACAGGTCAATTCAATCTACAGACAAATGAGACACTCCATCAACGTGATCACCTAAGGGAGGTAGCTGATTTACACCTGCTACTCGGCCACTATTATGACATCTTAATCAGTTCTTGAGGCGCAGAAATTAACAGTCATGTATTAGCACATGAATCAGTGAATAAAACAATGATTCTAGACTTGCTGACTTTGAAAGAAACAGATTTACCATAACATGATAAAACTTGCTAACTGTCTAATCCTACCTAAATATTAATGTTCTAACTTCTCTAACTGTAAATGCATAGGAACAGAGAAAAATAGATTAATAAATAATAGGAAGGAGCTTGAATAATCAGTAAAAATATTATCCAGCATTTACATGAAGTGGGGAGGAGAACAATGGGAGTTGATTCAGAATGCTGAAGGTTCACATTTTTAAAAAGTTATTGTTTTCATTATCAACCCTACTCTCTTGGTTTGTTAAAAGCAAAATACTGTGGGTGCTGGAAACCCAAAACAAACATATAAAATGCTGGTAAAACTCAGCAAGTCTGGCAGCATCTGTGGCAGCTTCTGAAGAACAGTCAGACTTGACTCAAAACAATATTTCTACTTCTCTGTCCACAGATGCTGTCAGACCCACAGTTTGCTATTTTGTCTTATTTGTCAACATTCAAAACCATCTAGAACCTTTTGACAATAGACTTTTCAGGGATAAAGAAGTTATGCACCAAATGAGTAACAAATTTACCCACTACCTTGAAGAAAAGATAAAGTAGGTATTTCCTCAGCTACCAGCAGCAATGCTTCAAATTGGCCAACAGACTGTCAGTGAGGATAATGAGCCTCCTGAAGACCTTTCTCTCACCAGAAGATTTTTTTTGCAGAACAATAAAAACTGTAAAAAGTTATCTCAAAGGATGTGCATAATGAATTTGACATTGTGTTCCATGATCAATTGACAATATATTCTTCTTAGAAGATCTGCTTATTTCAAGAAAAAAAGTTCAGGAAAGGTGGGGAGGGGAAAACATTTGTAAGACGTGGTTTCTTTTGATAACACCCTCAATACATTTCTAGTGTTTGAAATTTTTAAACTTAATTCATAATAATCTACCAACTCAACCACAAATATTTACTGTATAATCTCTCAATAATTTGAAATTATATTCTAAATAGAGTTGTCTTTTAATGTTGTTCATTTTAAAATTATTTAATATATTAATGATATGAATTGTTACTATGTTTTGACTTACAATTACATTGTGCCAAAAGTATTTAAATACACCAGAAAAATATATAAATACACCTGAAAATACAACCATTCTTTTGTACGATGACACATGTGGTAGATATAAACAATTATAATTTAAAATCCTGCTAGTTGAAACAAATTGTATTTCACCCTTCTCCTTAAAGCAATTAATACCTTTTTTAAAAATAATCAACTAGTTCTGTAAATATTTCTAGAGCATAAACTGCCTCTTGAGAAGGCATATTCAAGATGAAGAAGTGAAGAAAATACTGGAGGTTCAGAAAACTTTCAATATCTGAAGAGACTAAAATGACAACTTACGAAACTTAAAGAAGTTTTGGGAGTACTTTTCTATTCAAAATGCTTTAAGCATTCTTTTCTAAAAAACTATGTAGATAGAAAACTTTAAGTTACTTGACAGAAATATCACTCAAATATGTCACCTCAAAGAATTGCTACTTTGGGCCTTCTTTCTCCTTGATCATGGCAAGGCATTTATCATGTGGTAAAGCCACAAACATCCCAGAGCATGGCTGTGCTCAATGTTACAGGGGCTGTCATATTAGGTCAGCATGGGACATAAAACAAAAGAAATCTTGGGAAGTCCTCTATAATCTTCAAGAATGAAGCAATATCTTAGGGTTAGGTGCTTCTGATTTGGCTGGGATGACAGAAGGATTTCCAAAACGGCAAGCCTCTGAAGTTGCAAACAAAATTTTTTTTATTTGTTTCTGACTCTCTTGTCCTTTTACTTCTCTAAAGATCATGATTCCTACGTATACATGGATGCTTAAACCCGTCTAGTATTTCATCTCAAATCAATTTCATTTGTGAGAGTTGAAACATTATTTGACTTTTCATGATAATACAGCCAACCTAATCCTAAAACAAAACACTCCAAAAGCTGGGGGGTTAAACATTGGAAATACTCAGCAGGTCAGGTAGCTTTGGTCATTAACTTGAAAATCTCCATGGATGCTTTCTGACCTGCTAAGTATTTGCAGCATTTTTTGCTTTTTATTTCAACCTAAGCCTGTTCTCACTTGTTATCTAGGCCTCTGTCCTTGCAGTAGGATCACCAGGTAGCATTCAAAAGCTGAGTCCTTAGCTCGTATTTTCCTGATTGCTGTATGAGTGCTGAGGCAACCTTATCCTTCACCAAATAGGTGCTGACTCTCTCACAGAATTAAAATTCCATGTAACCCTCCAGAACCTTAATTAGTTGTCTAATATAAGTTCTATACAAGAATGGGAAGAACTTGCACATCACTACTTGGCCCATCAAGCCAAGCCACACATTCAAATGATTTCAAATCTAACTAAATCTTTGTAAGGGTTCACTTAATCATATCTAGTTAGGAGTAACAATTGTACAACTTGGAATAGCAAATCTGCAGTATTAGTAGTTAGGTAATGGAAACCATGGGCTTACACAACCACTTATCTGTAACTATGAGAAACCTAAACATTTTAATAGCAATTTATAGATTATTTTTACTTCTAGGAAATTGAAGCACTTTCCACTTCATCCACCTTCTCCCTTTTCCCTACTCACATACGCACAGGTTATAATAGTTTACCTTTTTGCCCCTCTACAGATGACAAATTTCAATTCCATACATTCAAAATTTTGGATCCAATCCTCCTGATGATAATGTCACCATTGTAAGTGACTCTGACGGTGGAAGTGCTCAATGAGGACACTGAAACAAAACAAAATCACAAGTTATCGATAAGACTTTAAATGGGAAATATCTTGAAAAACCACAATTTCCTCCTGATAAATGTAACTCACAAAAATAAAAAGTCTGAGGTGGGGAAAGTACCTAAAACAGATCAGAACAAATAAAAAATTATCATTTTCTTGGAACATATGAAACATTTTTTCTTTCTGACATCAAACTAAAACTTAAAATGCAAATAAACAAGATGTGTGGGTGCCAAAAACTACTATTATTCCTTTCATTTCCAAAATGTCATTCTACTCATCATTTATACATGAATTTAAACTTTAGGTTTGGACATCTATTCCAGACAGATGAGTGACAATGCAAGAGAAAAGGCATTTTATTCAGATCTCTCATGTCGACCATACTATAAATAACTACAGCAACTGTCTGTAATCTGGAATTGCACATCATTCTGCTGGATGATTGTACGTCCCTGATGATGTAGCTCACTGAAAATTAATCCTTTGTGTATTCTCTTGTCTGAATGCGGTAAACATGAACTATTTATCTGTCTCCTCTAACTGACAATAAAGCTGGTTAATATGTAAGCAGGTATGTTCCACAAGTTTCTCTTACAAAAACTTAAACAGCGTCCAAAATTATTGTGTGAATGTTTTAAATGAAACAGCCAGGCAGCCTGATGATTTTAGTGCTGCCACTTCTATTTTATTATTATTCTATTATTATCTGTAACTCCCTGATGGATTTTTAAAGTGTTACCACTATGTTTCTTTCCTTTCCAAATGCTGCTAAATTTACAGACTGTATTCACTACATTCTGTCTTCTTATCCACAGTTCTTTGTTCCTCAAACAGCAGCTATTTATCTTGTTTATTCTACTTATCAAAATCACCCCCTTAGAGCAGAAGTGGGGACAGCAGCTTTGCTGGATGGTAGATGAAAGTGAGAATATCAAGACTACATGTCTAAGAAAACATGGCAATTTTTTCATAGTGATTTGCTGCACGTTTAAACAACTGTGAAGATAAGGTAGCACCAGCTGCAAATGATGTACATATTTTACCATTGTTTGTTATTAAAAACAGTTCAACTATTCATGACTTTAAATTTGCTTTGTCTGTTCCCCTGCTGTGCATGGGGATCCTGCTGGTAGGGCCAGACTATGAAAACAAGCCTCAAATGACCAAATGTAATGGCAACTTTCAAAGTAGGAACCAAACCAGACACAACAAACCACAGAACAGCCAACCTAAGTTGTCATAATTTATGTGAGTGGAATTCAACTGTAACACCATTTACTGAAAGCTAACTTTCCACCAGTAGTATATTCCTACCAGAACATTTGGTTTTGAAAATCTTTGATAAGATGCTAGTGATAGCTTATCTACTTCTGTTTGAATCCAGCCAAATTGCCCCACACATTTTATGATTACTTGTGCACAACAGTTAAAGGTACCGCACAAGATCTCTGAATTAATTAAAATTCCCACAAAGCTGATCCAAGCTTAAAGATTCCTAAATGACTTTAGCTCACATACACTTAATTTATAAAAGGGCTTCTTCAGTTTAAAAAGTCACACTGATGGAAACTGAATGTAACTTCTCAGTCTTTATAATAGTTTTCTATTCCTAATTAGAATAAAGATGAGTAGATTCACATTACTGCCAGTCAGTGAGCAAAAGTAACATCAGAATTTTAATTAGACCTCTTAAACCAGCTTAATTTAAATCCATTCGTTTATGTGCTCTTTGCAAACTGATGCCTATTCACTAAGTTTCACACCGATTAAAGACAGCAGATTTTTAATCAAATTAAACTGTATTTTCAAAATAGGAAACTAGCCTAAACTATTGTCTTGATTTTGACCTAACCTGCCTGATGGGAAATAGGCTAGATCAGGTCACACAGCCATGTTGCACTCCATTTGAGTTTACTCTCCTGTTGAAACAATGACATATAAAACAGAGCATGGCGTATAGTGGGTCACATGCTCAAAATTATTCCATTCACGCCATAGTTTTGTTGAAAATTGGAGGCTAATGCATCAATTGGGAATGGTCACTTGTTTTCTACAAGTCCTGGAAAGCAAAAAAAACCATGCAAATGAATCCACTATTGGATGGTTGAACAACTTTAAACTGACACGGGAGAAATAATGCTTTTGTTGTAAGTGAAAAGGTGACTATCACATTCAAGCATTTGTTCCAACTTCCCATGCAGTTTACAAGTTAACCTTACTTTTCCTGAAAAACAAGGCTGCTTAGTGACTAGAAATCATAATTTTATGCAGACTGTTGGGCTAAGGGTGCTTCTTTCTTTAGAACTAAAGTTAAGCTGAGAAGTTCTAAAAGGAGACTTGCGAATGGAGCTCATGTCTAGATGCCAAGAGAGCTGGGGAACTGGGAGAATAATGTTGAAAGTAAAAATATTTATTGTGCATACAGAGCTCTAACTCAAATCAGGCCAGACAGGACTAACTAATTTTTTTGTATGAAATAAGAGATTTTGTAAGATGTAAAATTATTTGAAGTAATAATAATACCTTATTTAACTATGTGCACATTTTCAATATGCCTGTCAGTAAATCATTAATAAATGTTTGGTTATGCACAGATTATCATAATCTCCAAACAAAAATAACCTTTTGTTTACATGAGCATTATTTGCAAGACCAAACTCTAAACAATGGTGAAATCAAGGCAGCATTATGATCCACAACATGAACAGTAAACAAAATATTGAACTTGTGCTAATATTCAGGGAGATAAATCAAAATATGCAGTGCACTTATTCAATTTCTATGTTTACTTTTAAATCATCTTGATTATTGCAAGTTCAGAAAGACAACGGGACATAGCAGATCGTAAAGACTACTAGCTAATCCCATGACTGTGAAGTATCAGATTCCACAATGTCTCTTATACGCTGTATCAATTAGTTTCTCCAGGTACTTACCCAACATTTTCAAATTTGATGATACCATCACACCATCACCTCCCACTGCTTCCCTCTGCAATCCATTCGATATATCGAATAAAGCAGTTAAACAAAACTATTTCAACCTTTTAACATAGAATTGACATTAAGCATATTAACAATTATTCTGTCTATAGCCATTAGGATACTTGAATACTTCAATAAAATTAGCCCGTGCCATCTTTGCTTCAGTATTTTCAGCTTTCCTTCATAAGTCAGATACCTAATTCCAATTACCAATTGAGTTATCCTTCACTGCACTTTCTTCAATGTCAGAATACCTCTCTCAAAATGAAATGACCAGAGTCATCCACAGTTATTTCAGCTGAGGTCAAATCTGCATTCTCTACAAACACAGAATCATTCTTTGCAGTTGTACAATTTTCCGCTGACTATACAGCCTGGGATTTTACTTCCTTTCTCTTCAGTACTAATACATGCCATGTACTGTTGATTCAGAAATCTGTTTGGACCCCCAAATCCCTCTCCTGTTCTGAAACCTGTAATATAATACAGCTGTTCCACACTCTCAGTTTTACATTTCTCTGCGTATATATATCGACCGCTTGTCCATCAATCTGTCAAGGTCCTTTTGTATGTCAATTCACTGATGCCTGCTGCTTGCAGTCTCTTTCAGTTTGGCATCATAATAACTATGAATGATAGGGGCAGCCAAAGTTCCTCACTTGGCGGTGGTGGGGATGAAACATTCCTATTTTCTGAAGAAATCACAATATTTCCACAGCGTGGAAATAAACCACACACTTCACTCCTAAAATGGAAGTTGGAGAGCTGCAAAGTCCAAGCAAATTAGTGAAACCACTGAATTCCCTACAGCACATGTATAAATGAAACCTGAAAACTGATTTATAAAACTTGTGGCAATTGATATTATTATGTACTGATATTCATTTTTTGGAATGTAAATTATTTGGTGTTTCCGAGAGCATCATTATGCTTTCTGTATTTTGAATTAGCACTTCACCACTGTCTCAGCTCCTTCCAATAGATTTTTTATACTGACTAATCACCACAGACTGCTTTCTACTTTGGATGCAAGTTTTTTTTACAATGGAAAAGTAGAGATATTCATTCAATGGGGCAATCAATAAAGACTGAAAAGGATGATTTTATTTCCAAAAATATTTTCAATTTAAAATGCTAAGAAAATATAATGTGTATGATTATCTATCAGTATGTGAAATACATAGCTTGGGAAAAAAAGACCAGTTTATTTTAAATCTAATTTTTATTGAATACCCTAATGTCACAATCATCCATGCAGAAACACCATGCAACAAAGCAATGACTTTGCCATTATGAAGACAATAGTAATTTTTATATTGGTTTTGGAAGGGTTGCATATGTCAGTAGTTCCAATGCATGTGTTTTACTCAGATAATGGGAAAGTCAACAGGAACTTTCTGGAAATCTTCATCACCACTATTAATAATTGCACTGGCAATATAATCTTTAGTCATTCAGACTGAAAAGGTCCCAGGTTCAATCTCCAGATTGCTGCAACTGCTGCACTCATCCAGAACAAGGAGTATGCTTGGTGATACAATGTTCTAATGGCTTTGGCTAGGACGGAGAGAAAAAAAACTGCCAGGGTTCAAGTCCAAACCTTCAGCCAATATCTTTTTCCTAAATTACGTACTTGTATGATGTTTCTTTGACAAAAAATTAGACTCAACTTTGATGCTCTTTGTAGCCAAACAGCCCACAAATCATTACATCTGTTTATCAGGAATACCAAAAGCCAGCTGTTGACTGTGGATTAGTGTCTTCAGGAGGGAAACCAAAATATTTTATGTATGAAATATTAAATTATTGAAACATATAGACAAGAAATATTTTACCTATATTATTAAATATAACATATTTATTCACTGAACCTCCAAGTACAGTGCGATACACAAAAAGTGGCACAAATATTGCAGAGGACAAGGCATTTGGTACAATATTGGCAACTAGAAGCAAAGCACTGCCAAAGTGTCAAATCATCAGCATAACACAATTAAGTTTGATAAAG